GCGCCCGGACTGCTTGGAATCGGCCGCGCCCGCGGCCCCCTGAGGACGCACCAGAGGCCACTCTAGCCCAGGGTCGCTCCTGGCGTGCAGCCGAGGTCACGGGGGGCGAGCCTGCTCGGAACACAGCTGAGCTTCTCACCAGCCCTCGCGCCCTTGAGAGGTCGTAGGCGCATTCGAAGAAGGTCTGGAGGATTTTGCAGAAGGCGCGAGATCTCCTGAGAAGCCCCGCCGCCTTCTGGGCTGGCCTACCCCCCCTCTCACTTCCGCTCCTGCCTCGCCGCCAGAGGGAGGAGAGGGGGAGCAGCCAGGCCTCCGCCGCCATCGTGGCCGTCGTCTCGAGGCAGCCCGATTTGGGCGCGTGGATTAGCGACGGCTCCCGCTTCCATGCAGACTCGGTGCGCTTCGCCGCCCAATCTGACGGCGCTGGCTTCGTGTTCGGCCCCGACCTGTGGATCTGGTGCCCGGGCGCCAGATCCGCGGATCCGTAATCCATGCTTGCGAGTGCCCGAGCCATGGTCCGCGGTCGTCCACCCAGTTCCCTCCTCCTCCTTCCTCCCTCCTCCCCGCTTTTCCTTCTCCTTTCCCTTCCGTGGCCATCATGGTCTCAAAGGGCCCCGTGCGCAAGCGGCCCGCCATTCACGTTCTAGGCCTCGCCCCTCCCTCACGCCGCAGCCGTCTGCGCCCACCGCGCCCGGCCGCCGCGTCCAGGGCCGGCCGCCCGTCACGGGGCGTGCCCGTTCGGCCAGGTGCTTCCCCTCCCGCGCCCGGGCGAGGCCCGACTGCGCCGCGGTGGGTACGCCCGCTGTGGCTGCTGTGGCCGCGGCGGCTGCGGCGGCCGCGTCGTCGGCGGCAGCTGCGGCGGCTTCGGCGCCCGCGGCGGCGTTGGCGGCTGCGGCGGCTGCGGCGTTACAGCTCCGCCGCGCCTTCTTGTTCGCATGAAGTCGAAAGATGTGCCTCCGGCGATCTTGGGCCTCTCCTCGAAGAGGGTATAGACTGGTTGAGCTTCCACTGCGCGGCCACAGCCTGCAGTTGTGCTGATGTGGCATGTGTGGCCGAGGTAGTGGTCCAAGCACAAGCATGCAGTTTTCTCCGCCTCTGGTGCCCAGGCCCCTGTCCCCGCGTACCCGTCTGCTGACGCTCGCGCGTGGCGTACGACCTGCTGGTGCATCCGCCTCTCGTGCCGCCACGCGATCCTCACGTCGTTCGCGTCGGCGTGGAGTGGGCTGCTGCTGCCGCTTCAGGTCGTCGTGCTGGACGGCTCGACGTCCGGCTTCGCGGGCCGCCGCGGTGCCTTTGACTCTTGACGTTGTCTTGGTGGTGGTGCTCCTCCTGCTACTTGGCATCGCTCGGACGTGTGCGTTTTCTCCTCGGCGAGGACCATCGAGGAACATCCATGATCATTTGGCGAAAAAAACACGCACGAAACCGAACAAAAACACAGGGAATGGACGTCCGAGCGATGGCCAGGCTATTTCTGGAGACGGGAAGGAGGTGCAAATGGAGGGCGATGCAGCTTTTCCTTCGGACCGCTTGACATGTTCACAGCCTCCAAGAGGTATCCCGTGACATGTTCACTACGCCGTTGCACAGCTATGGTGCCAAGAAGAAGTCATCCGAGCTCTCAATCATGGGAAACATGCAAGTGGAGGGCGATGCACCTCATCCCCACCCTCCCCCGGCGGCGCCTCCGCAACTCTGCTCTCTTGCTCGGCGCCGTCAGCCGCACAGGCGGCCTCGATTCTCCCAATGCCTGAGCTGCATCAGGCTGAGGACTGCGACGGAGCCTGTCCTCTCGCTGTCGTCGGTCGTCCCTCGGGGCTGTGTCCTCGACAAGAGATTGAATGGGAGAGCATCGACTTAACCCACGTCGATGTTTGTGTCGATGGATCGGTGATGCGGAATCCCATTCGTGAGCTCTCGCGTGCTTCCTGTAAATTATGGTTAGGCCTCCTGAGGACTCCAGGAGAAAAACAAATCCTTCCGATGAGTCCGACGTGATATGAACATGTACTCTCGGATGTCCACGTGGGTTTCTCGGACCGGCGGTGAAGCTCCCCGGCGGCGCCTGCGGCGCCTCCCCTGGCGCGCGGAGCGCGCCAGAAAGTCGAGCGCCGATCCAAGAAGTCAGCGCGCACCTCCGAAAGTTAATGTTTGTACATGTTGTGTTCTTCGTTATTCCGCCACCTCCTCCACCTCGAATGCTCGAATGCTAGCGGCCCTGTGTCTGTCCGACGTGGCCGAAACCTCCTCCACCTCCGCCTCCTCCTGGCCTCGTGGCGTAGGTGGTTGATCCTCGTGAGGGCCAGTGCGCCACCCAAGCGTGGCCCGTGGTACCACTTGGTAGTCATCAGGACTGATCTGTATAATACTCCTCCTCGCCCTCCTCCCTTGGAGCCGCAGTGCCGCACTAGTGCGAGAGGACCGCCCGCGAGCCAGGTCGAGCGCGACGCGGCGCCCCCCAGTACACCAGCGCGCACCTATTGAGCTGGAGGCGTCGTGGGGCCCGAGGGGCACTCCAAAAGTCCAGCCGAAGTGGAGCAGTCGCGATTGGGCATGTGCCTCACCGCAGGTCGTGCCCCGCTCCGATCCGTTCGTGCCAGTTGCCTTGGCCCCCCCCCCCTGTAGCAATCAGTCTCCTTCTTCGCGCTGCCTTCTGCTGGGTCAGTCTTCTGCCTCCGCACACTTACTTGCCCAAGCTGGACCCTCCAGTGAGGGGGCTTCGTTTCCGTTCCCTCCGAGGGTCGCTCTCGCCCAGCCTTCTCCGTCGCATTGTTGAGTTTCTTCCTTGGCGCAGTTCCGCACGAGGTCCGCCTTGCTGGCCTTCCCCAGCCACTGGTTTTGTTTCTTCACTTCCCTATCGCGAGCAGTTGTTCTCGGGATCAGATCATCACCTTTCTGCCTCCGTTAGCGGATGTTCCGTGTTGGCTTTTTTGTTCGGCGTTTGCCGCCACATGGCACGTCGGCCTCTTTGCATGCCCTTGCTTTTGCCACGCATTGCCAGTTACATTGTTGTCGGCGTATAACACTCGTTGGCCTCCACATTGTCTCTCGCCTTCCACCTTGTGCAGAGTTGGCTCCCCAGGCTTGTCCCGGTGTTCGCGAGAACGAGCTGCCCCAGCTCGGCTCAGTACTTCTGCTCAGCCGCCCTGGTTGGCCGCGCAGCGGTGGCGCAGGTGGCACGCGCGCGCCACCCGATCGAGGCCCGCCGAACCGACGCCCAGGGACAAGCGCGCGCCAAGCCACCAAGCGAGCAGCACGCACTCTCCTTCCCTCCTCCTCATCCCTCTTCCTTCTTCGGCAAGCGCCAACTCGGGTCGAACCCCCGCGGGTTCGCGAGTCCGCGCCAGGCGGCCCACGCCGCTGCCCCCCCTCTCTTTCCCTCTCCCTTCCCTTCGCCCTTCGCCCGCGCCCGCCATGGAGCCGCCTTGGCGCGCCGCTGGCCGTCCCCGGCGCTCGGCTGCGGAGCGGAGGGCGCAGGCAGCGCGGGCGCAGTTTCGCGCAGCGCAGGCGTTCCTACGTGGGTTCCACGCCATGGGGCACAGGGGCTGCCGCCCGACCCTGTTGGGGGAAGCCCTGGCCAACATCCTTCGCGCCGCAGGCGGCGATCGTGAAGCTCGTGGTGCTGCTGGTGGCGATGCCTCGGCCCCCCAGCCTCCCACAGCCCCAACAGGGCCCCTACGGGGGATGACTGCCCTGGGGAGGGATGGCAGGGCGCGGGAGGCGAGCGGCGGACTGGAGGCGGCAGTCCCCGTCGACGCTCCTGCGGCAGCCCATGGAGAACCTCCCAGGATTTCGGCCAGCGTCGTCGCGAAGGGGGAGTCGGAGGAGAGTGTGGAGGTGATGCTCGGCGTGCCCCCCGCTCCCAGCAAAGGCCCCGCGGTCGCGGCGGGGGCCTTTCAGCGGGAGCCACGGGTCGCTGGTGGCACTTCTCCGGGGCGCACAAGTGGAGCTTCCGGCAGTCGGACGGCCATCCCGCTTCCGCCAGATGTCCTTTCCGCGCTGAACCAAGTGATGGGTTCTCCAGGTCCGCCTCCATCGAGACCCGTTTCGCATCCGCCAGGTTCCACAACCCTTTTCAGATGAGAAGTGCAAGCAGCAGTGACCATGAGAGAGGTGCACATTACGTTTTCGTTACGGCATTTTGTTGTGGCCTTCGTTAATTGCGCGGGTGCTTACTCAGTCGAGGAACTTGATCAGGTTGTCTCGGTTTTGTTATGTGTATTGCTTGTCGTTGCAGACGGGAGAACACATGTGCAGGGCGTTGGCATTTTCTGATACTGAGTGAAGGCTGCGTTGTGCATCGCGATTCTCCAGCTCTTTTGCTTACTTTGTGGAGGGACATGAAATAAGGTGAACACACTGTTGCATAAGAGTTCTGTATTATGCCTTGCCTCTTGTGTGTGCGTGTGCGTGCGCGTGTGCCGTGCGTGCTCACCAATAAGAGGCTTGCTTGCTTATTAGGTATAATATCGCACCGCGATGGAGCCCATTCCCATTCCCATTCCTCTTCCTTCTTCGGCTTCACCTCCTCTCTCTATCTCTCTAAATTTCTCTCTCCCTCTCTCTATCCCTCTCTGTGCGTGTGCTCCTCAGGATGAGCCCGACACGCCCTGCTGCTTCGCAGCCGGGCTCCCGCGCACTTTGTCCTCTTCGGCCGTGCGCCCGCCTCTGCCGCTTGGCTGCGCGCGTGGCCGCGACGCCTCAAGGATGCGCGTGCGGGTTTGTGGCCCGCTTCCTCGCGGTCTTCCAAAAGGCTTCCAGAAGCACCTGAGGTCCTCTGGAGACCTTTGGAGACGTCTGGGCAATTCGGGGGCCTCCCGGGGGCCTCCGGACACGTCCCGTGGGCCAGACCTCCTGACGTCGTGGCATTCTCAGTCTGGGAGTTTTTGCTGTGAATTTCGGTACCTCCTCCTCCTTGTCGAACCCTGGGGTCAGCAAGTAACTTCTCGGGGCGAGGCAGCACCCCCAGGGCACGGGCTGAGCTGCGGGGGCCTGTTATTGCTCCCTCCCCGTGGGACAGTTGCATGCGTATTCTGGAGCGTCTCCCGATGGCCCCTGCTGGTCCGATCGATCTGGGCTTCTGGGATCCGCGGCCAAGGAGAAACATGAGATACAACAAGGGAGAACCGCGCTGGCTGCCACGGCGCCAGGTGCCTGCAGTCGGAGGCCTGGTGGCAAAAAGAGTGCTCCGACTCGCTGGGCCCTGGCAGGGCCTCGGGCTGCGCACAGACCATTCCGAGCTGATATCAGGAGGGGAAAAAACACACAGACACAATTAATCGTCGATTTCCAAGAAAATATGGGAAAACATGGGAATTGGGCGGGAAGACAAAAACCCAGAAAATATGGGAAAATATGGGGATTAGTTTTATTTGTGTGTACTTATTTGTGTGTCCCAGGGCCCCTTCAAGATAGCCCGGGGCGGTCTCAGCACCCCAACAAAATCATGACGGAAGATTTTCCGAATTTCGGCCTCTGGAGGCCCTCACTGGGCTTCGGGACCGTCAGAAACGCCGCAGCATGAAGCACCGGTCCCAGGGAAGGGGTTCAGACCTTTGGGGGTCGGCGTTGTGACAACAATCACATGGTCAGGGGTCTGGGACAGGCCCCCCGAGTCGATAGCCCGTGGCGGTCTCAACACCCCAACGGTGAGACGGCGCCAACCTATTCGGAGGGCCTGTTGAGGCCAGCTGGGCCCGACTGGGGTCGTGGGCGAAAAGCATATCCGCAGCCGCTGCCTCTTGGGCCGGGTCCCCGGGCCGCACCCCGCCGATGCGGGGAGCTTTTCCGCGGAGGCCCCGCGCAGAACGTAACTGTATGTGCGACCGCGCATCCGCGGGATCGCGTTCCAGAGTCCAGACCGCGGGTGCGCGGATGCGGATCTGTTCGCCGCTCGCGGTGGGCCCCGCTGCGCGCAGCCCGAGGCTTCCGCGCCCGATCCCCCCCTCCGCCCGCGCGGACCTCTTCCCCAGGGGCGCCCTTCAAGCAGTGGCGAGGCGTCCTGGCTCGCCTATAGCCCTACCAAACAATGTTCTAAGAACCTTTAGTGGTTCCCAGGAAATGTGCTTAGAACATTTCTGCGGAGACCGTCTTGGTTTAACACATCGGATTCACGTTCTAAGAACATCGTTTCTGTTCTTGGAACATGTTTGGGTTCTGAGAACATTCCGTGGTAGGACTACAGGAATGCCAGGACGGTCGGTCCCTGCTCAACCTCCGCCCGCGCGGATTTCTTCCCCGGGGGCGCCCTAGGGCCATGCCGGCCCGGCCGCATCATCGGGCCGCCTGGCGCGGCGCGCTGGCCGTGGGCGCCGCGCTGCGCGCGGCGCACGGCTCGCGGCACCTGGCGCAGCTGTGTGGGGGCCCGCAGCCTAAAAGTTATGTCGGGCGTGTCCCCTTACAGGGGGATTTTCGACGAAAAATAAAAACATATTCCCCACATGCCCCCAAAAGGTTAAAAAATACTCAACAGATAGTCCCCAGACCAATTGTGGAGCATTTTTTGATTATTTATGGGGTACTCTGTTTTTCGTGAAAAATCCACCTGTACGGGGACAGGCCCGACTTAAGCCTAGAGCCGCGGCCTATCTCCGACGGCCCACCCGGCGGGGGTCCAGCGCCGATCCGAGGAATCCACGCGGACCTCCTAGCTTTTACGTGCATGTCATTGCTTGTTCCCCCTCACTTTACGCCAGCGAGCAGCCCTCGGGCGCTGCGTACTGGGGGACACCCTTCGCGGCGTACCTTCGGGGCCCGAGAGGGGCCCCTGCATGGCCCTGAAGGAACACGGAGGGTGCGCGTCTCTTCGCCCCCCGTTTTCTTGCCCCCCCAGTAAGCAACGCCCAACGACGACGACGACGACGACGACGACGACGACGACGACGACGACGACGACGACGGCGGCGGCGGCGGCGGCGGCGGCGGCTAAAATGCCAGGGATGCGCTCGAGGCATCGTTACAAGCCGCTTTGAAAGCAGAGGGGGTCATAGGCACCAAGCAGGCAGACCGCCTGAGGCAATCCTCCACCCGCCTCTTCCTGCTCCGTCAGCAGAGAAGACCGTGCCACCCACATGCAGGCGTGCTTGGGCAGACGTCCGCGCCCCCCTCTCTCTACCCCCCTGGCGGTGGCGCTGTCATGAACGCGGTGAATCGTTTTTCCCTCTGGGAGTGCTGAAACCAGCCCCTCGCCTGAGACATCCTCACAATCTGCTCCGAAAGCGCACAAGTCCAAGCCACCTCACAGGCAGACCGCCCGGGACATCCCCACAATGTGGGCGCGAATTGGCGAGTGCCATGCCTCCTGGCAGCTGCGCTTCCTGAGACATCCTCCTAACATGCCCTGACAGCACGCATGTCGAAGCCATCAACTCTGGCGGCCCCCCCTTGGGAGTGCTGAAACCAGCGGCTCGCATGAGGCATCCTCACAATCTGTTCTGACAGCAGACAAGTCCAAGCCACCAAGCAGGCAAACCGCCTGGGTCATCCCCAGAAATTCTGGCCGCGATTGGGCCCGTGAAGTAACCTCTGGTGGCTTCCCCTTGGGAGTACTGAATTCGGCTCCCCCTTATTGGGGTGCTGAATCCAGAGCTGTGCTGGAGACAGCCTCGCAATCTGCGAGTCTGAATGCGAGTGCGTCGCAGGTCTGAATGCAAGTGTGTCTGAGTGAGCCTGAGTATGACTGTGTCTGAGTGTTAGTTCGTCTGAGTTTGACGTAGTCTGAGTGTGAGGGAGTCTGAGTGTGAATGAGTAGTAGTGCGAGTGAGTCTGAGTGTGATTTAGTCTGCGTGCGTCTGCGAGCGTGAGTGACATATGATTGCAAGTGAGTCTGAATATGAGTGAGTCTGAGTGGGAGTTAGCCTGTGTACGTGAATATCAATATGAGTGAGGGCGTCTGAGTGGGGAAGGAGAAGTGGAAGATGAGAAGGATGAGGCAGGGTGAGGAGGGCCTTCTGGGGCCACTTGGGCGCCTCTTGGGGCAATCCTGGGGCCCTCGGGGGGGCTCTCTTGGGGGCCATGGAGACCGTCTTGAGATTATCTTGGAGGTATCGATCAATGAGGGGAGTCCTTAACTCGCGTCGCCCCTGTGAATCTCCCAATGTCTCCTCTCGGGGCCCTCTGTGAGCGCTTTTTGGCGCGCTTGGGACCGTCTTGGGGCCCTCTTGGAGCCATCCTGAGGCCTCGGGAGCCCATCGGAAGCGACAAGGCGAGAAGGCCACAATCAGATTGTCCCCGTAAGTTTTGGAATGATGTGTACAATGCTACCGAACAGCTTTCGAACAGTGTACCCGACAAGCCAACATCCGTCGAACAAATTACCTAACATCGAAGACTGATAGGTTTCTAATGGGGTAAAAAGAGAGCAGCACATTACTCCACAGGGGGGTCTGGGCAGCCGTTGGGGACGAGTTGGGGTTTGCCGGCGGGGATCGTTTTTCGCATACAGTCACACACTTCGTGCTCTTCGACCTCCCAGAACTCCATTCCCGGGCCACATTCTGAATGCCCGGAGCCAACTGTAGGCCACTTCGTGCTCTTCGACTTCCCAGAACTCCATTCCCGGGCCACATTTTGGATGCCCGGAGCCAACTGTAGGCCACTTCGTGCTCTTCGATTCCCAGAACTCCATTCCCGGGCCACATTTTGGATGCCCGGAGCCAACTGTAGGCCACTTCGTGCTCTTCGAGTTCCCAGAACTCCATTCCCGGGCCACATTTTGGATGCCCGGAGCCAACTGTAGGCCACTTCGTGATCTTCGAGTTCCCAGAATTCCATTCCTGGGCATGATTTTGAATGCCCGGAGCCAACTGTAGGCCACTTCGTGTTCTTCGAGTTCCCAGAACTCCATTCCCGGGCCACATTTTGAATGCTGAGGCAGGCTGAGGCTGAGGCTGAGGCAGGCTGAGGCTGAGGCAGGCTGAGGCTGAGGCCGAGGCTGAAGGCAGACTGAGGCTGAGGCTGAAGCAGGCTGAGGCTGAGGCTGAGGCAGGCAGGCTGAGGCTGAGGCTGAGGCTGATGCTGAGGCAGGCTGAGGCTGAGGCTGAGGCTGATGCAGGCTGAGGCTGAGGCAGGCTGAGGCTGAGGCCAAGGCTGAAGGCAGACTGAGGCTGAGGCTGAAGCAGGCTGAGGCTGAGAGGCTGAGGCAGGCTGAGGCTGAGGCTGAGGCAGGCTGATGCTGAGGCAGGCTGAGGCTGAGGCTGAGGCTGATGCAGGCTGAGGCTGAGGCAGGCTGAGGCTGAGGCCGAGGCTGAAGGCAGGCTGAGGCTGAGGCTGAGGCTGAGGCTGAGGCTGAGGCTGAGGCTGAGGCTGAGGCTGAGGCTGAGGCTGAGGCTGAGGCTGAGGCAGGCTGATGCTGAGGCAGGCTGAGGCTGAGGCTGAGGCTGATGCAGGCTGAGGCTGAGGCAGGCTGAGGCTGAGGCCGAGGCTGAAGGCAGACTGAGGCTGAGGCTGAAGCAGGCTGAGGCTGAGGCAGAGGCAGGCTGAGGCTGAGGCTGAGGCAGGCTGATGCTGAGGCTGGCTGAGCTGAGGCTGAGGCTGAGGCTGAGGCTGATGCAGGCTGAGGCTGAGGCAGGCTGAGGCTGAGGCCGAGGCTGAAGGCAGACTGAGGCTGAGGCTGAAGCAGGCTGAGGCTGAGGCTGAGGCAGGCTGAGGCTGAGGCTGAGGCAGGCTGAGGCTGAGGCAGGCTGAGGCTGAGGCTGAGGCTCATGCAGGCTGAGGCTGAGGCAGGCGGAGGCTGAGGCCGAGGCTGAAGGCAGACTGAGGCTGAGGCTGAAGCAGGCTGAGCTGAGGCTGAGGCAGGCTGAGGCTGAGGCTGATGCAGGCTGAGGCTGAGGCAGGCTGAGGCTAAGGCTGAGGCTGATGCAGGCTGAGGCTGCGGCAGGCTGAGGCTGAGGCGGAGGCTGAAGGCAGACTGAGGCTGAGGCTGAAGCAGGCTGAGGCTGAGGCTGAGGCAGGCTGAGGCTGAGGCTGAGGCAGGCTGAGGCTGAGGCAGGCTGAGGCTGAGGCCGAGGCTGAGGCAGACTGAGGCTGAGGCTGAAGCAGGCTGAGGCTGAGGCTGAGGCAGGCTGAGGCTGAGGCTGAGGCAGGCTGATGCTGAGGCAGGCTGAGGCTGAGGCTGAGGCTGAGGCAGGCTGAGGCTGAGGCAGGCTGAGGCTGAGGCCGAGGCTGAAGGCAGACTGAGGCTGAGGCTGAAGCAGGCTGAGGCTGAGGCTGAGGCAGGCTGAGGCTGAGGCTGAGGCAGGCTGATGCTGAGGCAGGCTGAGGCTGAGGCTGAGGCTGATGCAGGCTGAGGCTGAGGCAGGCTGAGGCTGAGGCCGAGGCTGAAGGCAGACTGAGGCTGAGGCTGAAGCAGGCTGAGGCTGAGGCTGAGGCAGGCTGAGGCTGAGGCAGGCTGAGGCTGAGGCTGAGGCAGGCTGAGGCTGAGGCTGTGACTGCGACTGCCGTTGCCACTGCGACTGTCATCGCGAATGCGACTACGACTGCGAGAACAGCAGAATTCTACAACTGGATTCTCATCCGAATCTTAAGGGGATGCTTCCAGATATGCTCCTACACATCGATGTTAGGTTGCTTTGCCGGGATAATTTGTGTTTTTAATATTGATTTCGTTAGTCAAAGAAGGGGGATTCAATTAGCGTCGTCCCTCTGGAGCTCCCAAAGTTGCCTCTTGGGGCGCTCGTGGGGTGCTCTTGGGCGCTCTTGGGGCCGTCTTGGGGCCATATTGGGCCCCTCTTGGGGCACTCTTGGGTCCTCTTGGAGCCATGTTGAGGCCTCGGGAGCCCATCGGAAGCGAAAGTGCGAGACATCTACACTCATACGGATTTGGGCCTCTTTGGGGCTTCCCTGAGAGGCTCCGAGGCCACTTGGGCACGTCTTGGGCTGGTATTGGGGTCTCCTGCGCTACCTTGGGCCATCTTGGAGGAGGTCATCGTGGGCTCTCGGAGGCCCTCCTGGAGTCACCTTGCGCTCACAGCCACCCTCTGACACCTCGCCGCCCCGCCCCCCACCAGGTCTAGAGGGAGGAGGTATGGGGGAGGAGGTATGGAAGCGAACATTTCCGACCACACGCGCCAAGAGGGCCCCGATGGACCACGTACATCATATTGTCGGGAAGCCGGGAGAGAAAACGAGAGGCTCGGTATCATTACAATCTTATGTTGGACAGACACCCTCGCTGTCACTCTCACCTCAACGTGTTCGTGAGCAGGGCCAGAGGGAATTTCAGGGAGGGAATTTCACGCGAACACGAAAGATGAGCAGGCAACATCACCGATGCAATCCATAATCACCTGTACTATCTTACACAGCCTACCCACACCCCATCCCCCCCGAACCGCAATCAGTTAAGTTTGGAATGCGGTCGTTATCGCGACACCTCGATAGGCGGGCGGGGGGGCAGAGGAAGCTTGCGAATCTCGTACAGCGGGGCGTGCAGCAACGCCGCGAAGCGGCCATAGCGAGGCGAACATGTCCGACCAAACGCGCCAAGAGGGCCCCGATGGGCCAAGCATATCATACTATCGGGAAGCCGGGAGAGAGGACAAGAGCCTCGGCAAAACTGTAAACAAGCGAGTTGCACAATCGCAATCTTCCGCAACCGCAATCGCAATCGCAATCGAGGAGGAGGAGGAGGAGGAGGAGGAAGAAGAGGAAGAGGAGTAGGAGGAAGAGGAGGAGGAGGATGAGTTTGCCTGGCGGAGCCGCGCTGTATACCAAATTTCTCACGGGCGCACTGGGCGGGCCCGTTTTGAGCATAGCGAGCTCGCGTGTGACACGTACTCGTGGCAGCGTGAGCCGGGGCCCTGTCTCGTCCTGAACGCCAGAGATCCCAGCAGAAACATGACGACTGAACCAGGATGCGCTCCCAGAATCGGGGATGCGCCTGGGTTTGCGAACTGACACCAAGGAGGCAAAACGAGGTGGCGACCTGTGCTAGGGCCCTAGGCCGATCTAACGCTAGGCGGGGTAGCGGTCACGCCTGGCGCCCCCGGGAGCTCTCGTATAGCGCCCCCGGCAGCACCAAAAAGGGCGCCCCAAAAACAAATTACTTCACTCTGTCCACCACCCAGTCTCCTCACCCCAGGTCTCGCCAGGGTAGGGGCCGCCGTCGTCGTTGTTGGTACGCTTCTCCTTCTTGCTTTTCTGAGTCTTGGCCATGAGCTCGGCTGGGACATCCTGTGCCTTCTGCTTCTTCAAATAGCCAAGGACTGTCTTACACAATTGGCGTCACTGAGGACGCGGACGAGCTCCGTCCTCCTTAGATGCATGGCCTCCAGCGTCCACGATGTTCTTGGGCATCCGGGCACGGAACTGCGTGAGGGACAACGTCTTCGAATAGCGCTGCACGCTGGAGAGGGCCTTCGACCTTGGCGAGACCAGAGATGAACCCAGGATCCGCTCGCAGGTCCCCGAGGAAGGCGAGGACCAGCGCCCCGATCGCAGCCCGCCAGAACGCTGTCGCGACGACGCCACACCACGCCATGCGAGGCTCGGGGGCCGAGAGCGAACTAGCCTCGGTCGGAGCGACATGAGCCCAGAAAGCTCGAGCGGACACGAAACGCGAGCAGCCAGCCAGCAGCACCGATGCAGTACAGAACCGCCTGCACCCTCTTGGCACGGCCTGCCCGCGCCCCACCCACCCCGAGAAGTTAGCAATTGAGTTTGGCATGCGGCCATTATCGCGACACCTCGGCGGTCATTGTCTCGGTCTCGCTCGGACGTGTGCACGTTTTCTCTCGGCGGGGAGTATTCAGGAGCACCCTGGACCATCACGCACGACACCAGAAAAGCACAGGGAGTGGACGTCCGAGCCATGGCCAGTCGCTGAGGCTGGAAAACGATCAAAGGCTCGGATCTCAGGCCCTACCGCGGCCCATGCCGAGACCTGCCCGATGCCGGGCGACGGGCAGGCCACCGGCGGCGTGCGGCGCCGCGGCCTGCCGGGGGCCCGGCGCGGCGGCCTCCTCATCGCCGTCGTGCGGAGGCCTGTAGCTTGGCACCGGCACCAAGATCGGCGGGGTGCCTTCCCCAGACACGATGGCGTCGTACAAAAATCAGGACGGGAGGTTTTTGGTTATTTTCGACCCGTATAGGGGCCCTCGCCGGGCCCCGGGACCGCAAAAAGTGGACTCGGGGTGAAGAACTGGCCCCGGGGAAAGGGTCTGGACTTCCGGGGACGCCGTCCTGAAAAAATCAGGGCGTCGCATGTCTGGGCCACCGAGGACGGATCTCGGCGACGGTGGTAATACTCGACCTCTGTAGGTGGCCGATTTATTACCACCAGCACCAGAATCTGGGATCCTCTTATCCCTGTGGAGGCAGCCACCCTGTGTTGGTGTTGGTGCCCATTTCCAGGCCTCCAAGGCATGACGCGGAAGGCTGGCTCTGCACATTGCTCTAAGCTGGAGCAGTGGGCCTGGTACGGATGTGTCGGCGACGGGAGCCGCGATCGTCCGTTGCTCGCATACCTCTCCGTGCACCAGAGCGCAGCTGTTGCGGGGGGCGCGGGCCATGACACGGGCAACAACCGCTGCATGTGCAACATTCGACACACCTGCATCCCCGCGCAAGTACTGCATCTGGCGCGCAAGATACTGCATCCAGGCCCCAACTCTTGCAAGTACTATTGCACCTGGCCGCAAGTACCTGTCTGCGCCAGACCCACTACTTCGGCTCAAAGTTGTCGGCGTATTGGCAACGGTGCCTTGGTCCAAGGCGAAGTGCAGGGAGTTGGCGATGGCACCGCCATCCCTTTGTCGTGGCGCTGGCCCCTCCGCTCTTGGGGCATGCTAGGATGCATCGCTGCCTCCGCGCGCGGAGCGAAGAGGAAGCAAAGCCATCGATTGAAACCCAAAAGGAGGGTGAGCCAGTCGATCCCCAACAGGGGTCAAAGGGCACGCCGTGGTCATGCGCAGCGCATGGTTGCACCAGGCAGCACGCACGCGCATCCTGAAGTGATGCCTGGTATTTTGACTCGGGGCGTGGCTCTAAGTTTGTCACCTTAATCATCATCAGAACACAGGAGGGGCTAGATGCCTGTACCACGCCGATCGGTCGGCCAGGGAGCCGAGGACATCGGCGAAGCTGCTCGGTATGTAGACGCTCCATTGTTCCACATGTTGGGCAGGTGGGGCCACCGAGCTGCCTGGCCGACCAAACGACGCGGGCGTCTACATCGAGCCCCTCCCAGGAGCCGCCCCCATCCCCCACTGGGACAGGGTGAGCTACCCCCGCCCCTACTGCCTTGCGATGTGGAAGACAGCGGAAGGATTTCGGCAAGTTTCTGTCTCCGGGTTCCCTTGCCGAGCCTCAGCACTGTGAGAATACGATCCAAGGTGGAAAGCTGGTTCCTGAGAAGGGTTCCAGGCCTCTGGGGAACCACCTTGTAACAAATGACGTCAGATGCCTGGGAGCCCCTCTAGGTGGGAATGGGCTCCGCGCCGAAGGAGACCGCACCCATCCCTACCTCGGGGCGGCAGGTAGGCCAGCGAAACTGAAGGGGGCTCGTCCAGAGCCCCTCTGCGCTCCCGAGACCTCCAGGCCGTCGCGGAGAGACCTCGACCTGACGCTCTGCTCTCGTCGCTTGCGGGATCCCCAGCGGGGGACGTCCAGCAGCGGCCTCGGGGCAGAGGGGCGATCCCAGGGATGGGCCCGAGGGAGCCCCGGCGTACTTAGCTTGCCAAGGGGCCTGCGTAAGAGGAGGGAGGAGGAGGAGGAGGAGGAGGAGGAGGAGGAGGAGGAGGAGGAGGAGGAGGAGGAGGAGGAGGAGGAGGAGGAGGAGGAGGAGGGAGGAGGGAGGAGAGGGAGGAGGGAGGAGGGGAGGGAGGAGGGAGGAGGGAGGAGGGAGGAGAGGAGGAGGAGGATGAGGAGGAGAGGAGGAGGGAGGAGGGGAGGAGGGAGGGGAGGGAGGAGGAGGAGGAGGGAGAACGAGGGAGGAGGAGGAGGAGGAGGAGCAGGAGGAGGTGGGCGGAGGGAGGAGGGGGGAGAAGAGAGGTGCAGGGAGGGAGGAGGAGGCGGGAGAGGGGGAGGGGAGGTCGGGGAGGGGGGAGGAGGCGGCAGAGGCGCGAGGGGGCGAGGAGGCGAGGGGAGGTCGGAGGCGCGCCTCGGCCGCGGGTGCCCGAGGGCCGGAGCCCGCCGAGGTCACGAGTGCACCGCCCTCGAGGCCCCGCTGCTGGACTACGACCCGGTGGAGGAGAAGTGCCGCTGCATCCCCCACCCGTGCTGGGACGACAACGGCCGGCAGCACTTCTGCCAGGACGCGGTGGCCTTCAGGTGATGGGGGGGGTCATGGATGGGGGGGGGGTCAGAACGGTCACTTTCTGGTCCCTTTCTGGTCACTTTAGGTGCTGCTTTGGCCCATCTGTGGCCCCCCCCATCTATGGCCCCCCCATCTACTCACGGCCAAAGGGGGTACAGTCAACTCGCATACTCAGGCTGGGCGGCCTTCCCAAGGGTATCCTGGCATCCTTGCCTCCTCGGTCCATCCTTGGCCACTCTCGTTGGCCGCGCCCCTCTCGAAGGGCTTCGAAAGGGGCGTCCGAGGCCCTCGCATCCTGATCGCGCATCCTTGCTATACGGGTCGACTGCATGGGAGGTACACGCGCCAACAAAACAGCAAAACAAACAAGCATTACAAACAGCAGCACAGCAAGCACAGCAACAGACAGACGGCAGCTGGTGCCAAGACACCGGGGAGCGGCTGGAAGGGGGGAGGGTTCAATGATCGAGCTTTTCACATGATTCTACGCTTTGGCGTTTTGCTGCGCCTGTCGACCCCGGAGGGGATGAAAACGATGCAGGAACAGTACAATTCCATACACAAGCGGTTGAAACTCCGCGCGGAGTTCTGGAAGTTGCAGTTGCTTCTTCTCGTGAGGATTCGCAGGCTTTGACGCCTCAACATTTTGCTGCGACTCCTGAGGCCTCCAGAGACTTCAGAGGGCAGGAAGATGAGGAGGAGCAGCATGATTGCGAGGAGGAGGAGGAGAAGGAGGAGGAGAAGAAGAGGGACCTGCCAGGACGTGCGCCACCCGTTCCTGGCCTTCTCGTACGACCAGTCTGGGGGATTGCAGTGCCGTTGCAGCAGCATCGCCCAGCAGAATTCAGTGTACTTGTCCAAGCACGTTTGTGCTGGCCAGAAGTGCGATCAGGCAAGCTTTCCGGTGCTTGACGTGGACGACGGTGGTGAGTGCAGGTGTCTAGCACACCCCTGCTGGAACGACAACGGCCTGAACCACTCGTGCTCAAGCACACCTAGGTTCCCCATACTGAATTTCAGATTGGACAAAGAGGGCAGCAACGTCTGCGAGTGCATGGCGATGTGGCATCCTCAGGGAAAAAATGTTCTCGAAGATGCCGCCAAGGAGGATGAGCAGCGACAGGCTGCACAGAGCAACATGGAGCACGGATTTCCAATGCCTCCAGACACGAGGCCCCGCGGGTGCGCGAAAAACATCACCGAGGATTTTTCTGGGCTCAGCGTGTCTGTGATTATCCCATGGCTCGCCGAGAAGTGGTACCACATGGAGGCGACCTTGAAGTCGCTGCTGTACTTTACGCCCGACCACTTAGTGACGGAGTTCATCTTCATTTCTGACGGCAATGCGGACAGCAGGGAAGTTGAGCTAAAGGCCATATCCGACAAGGTGAGAGTGTTGGCACTCCGGGAGCGCGTCGGGTTGATGGTCGCAAAGACAAAGGGCGTCGAGATGGCTAAGGCCCCAGTTTTGGTATTTTTGGAGGCGCACTGCATAATGAACCACGGGTGGCTTGAACCCTTGCTGCAAAGGCTGAAGGAGGACCCGAAGATACTGGCAATGCCACAATTGGACATCATCCCTGAGGACAACTTCTACCAGTACCGCAAAAACGTGCCGGGATATTGGCGGTACGAGTGGAACTTCAATCTGATATATTCCAACCCTGGCGGAGGTCTTATCAAGGACTCACGAACAAAAGCACAGAGCGCGAACCTAAAAGGAAATCTTGATATTTCGCGTGTCCAGACCAGCCCATCCAGAAACGAGGCCAAGAGGAGTGCTATGGATAAGCATGCAGTGGAGCATCGAGAGCAACCGTGGCGAATCTCTGGAAGCCTCCAGGAACCACCTCCTGTGCCCTCCTGGGGCCATCTCGGGATGTACCATACCATCTTTGAGGCCACCCTGGGCTTCCTACAGCCCTCTGTCGGGCCGGACGAATGGGGGGGATTGGGAAAGGGGGGGTTACAAAATCTGCTGCATGCAGCTGGTTTCGGCCCCACCGAGGGGCCCATTCCTCGATACATAGCTGCCTTCCCGCGCCGGGAGGCGCCGGGAAAATCAGCTACGTGAGCTGATTCTCAACACCCCCCTTTTCTATCCCCCCCTTTCGCCCGACCCGACTCTGGAGCCATCTCGGAGCCCTCCTGGGGCCTCATTGGGGCCCTCCTGGGGGCCCTACTGGGGGCCTCGGGGGGGCTCGTCGAGCCATCTTGGAGGCGATCGATCAACGAACGGAGAATTCTAAACTGCGCCTGTCCATCTTTGAGCCCCAAGTGACTTTTTGGGGCCATCGTTAAGGGAACAAAAAGTGGCATAAACATAAAAACTCGGAGGTCCACGCGGATTTCTCGGATCGGCGCTAGGGCCCCCTGGCGGTGCCTCCGGCGCCGCCCTTGGCGCGCTCCGCGCGCCAGGGAGGGGGGTCAGCGCCGATTCGAGAAATCCGCGCGGACCTCCGAGTTTTTATGTTTATGTCACTTTTTGTTCCCCTAATCTTGGGACTCTCTTGGAGCGCTCCTGAGCCTCTGGGCGCTCTCGGGGCCGTTTGGGGCCATCCTGGGCATCTGTTAGGGCTACAGCTTGGGCCCCCTCGTAGGTACCTCTGAGCCATCAAGAGCCCACCCGGAGCGAGAAGACGAGAAGGCAAAACAACTTGGGAGCCCCCAGACAAGATGGTGAGATATCAGTTGGTGACCTGGAATCCCGAAAAAGTCACCGCCGGGTTTTGGAACACGGGGTCACCGCTGGGTTCTGTGACTCCTGGACCCACCAGCGATCGGGACATCTTCGAACAACCGCACGAGTCCCCAAGCAGGGCGGCAACGCCAAGTCGGCCGAGACTCGCCGCCGGGCGTTGTCACCACCACGCCCGGGGACTACCAGCCAGCACTGGTGCCTCCCAGACTCCCAGACTCGGGACGGAGCTCCATGCCTCCGAGCAGGGCAGGGTCTCTGGCCCTCCGCTGTGGGCCTCCGGAGGCATCGGAGAGCTGTCTCCGTGGCCGCTGTGGCTCGGAGCCGGCGTCTGCCCGGCTCGGCCACGCCACGGCGCCCCCCCGGCCGACCCTCCGCGGCGCCGGGTGCGCCGTCGGAGCGCCGAGGCGGGCGGGGGGCCGCGGGGGGAACCGGTCGTCTCTGAGGACCTCCTCAGCGAACGCGGAGTGTCGTCAGACGAAGGCATCTATACACCACCACCGTGCCAGGCCAGGGCCGTCCTGGGCCCTAGGATGGCGTATAGACCCTCCTGGCTCGGCCAGGAGGGCGTATGCACCATCCTAGGGCCCAGGATGGCCCTGGCCTGGCACGGTGGTGGTGTCTAGATGCTTTCTGCGTATGTCTGGCGATACCCCGGGGTCGACGCATGGTATCAAGCAGTGGCGAGGCGTCCTGGCTCGCCCAAAGCCCTGCCAAACAATGTTCCAAGAACCTTTTTTGTGGTCCTGCAGGAAATGGTCTCCGAACATCTCTGGTGGAGTCTGCCTTGTTTTATCACATCGGGATTGTGTTCTAAGAACATTGCTTTCGTTATTCGAACATTTTTAGGGTTCTAAGAACATGTCGTGGTAGGACTATAGGAATGCCGGGACGGTCGGTCCCTGCTCCATGGTATGAAGTTCAATGTCCGGGACCCACCGCCCTGTTCGGGGAGCCTGCGGTCCCCTAGCCACCGGGCCCACGCGGAGACTTTGGATGCTAAGGGTGGCTGGCTCGATGGCAGCCATCGCCGCCGCGCTGCTACAACAAAACGTGCTCATGCCATCAAACCATAACACATCGAAAATTAAACGTTTCCCTTGCAAATTGGGGGAACTCTGTGGCCACTTGGGTCCGCCTTGGAGCAGCCTTGTGGTCACCATCATGGGACCGTTCGAGCACTCGTGGAGGTCCGCCGCCCCCTGTTGATTTATCTCAGGGGTGTCTGGCGTGCTAGATCCTTTCGTTTTGGGTTATGGTTCTTTTTTCAAAAGAACTCCCCCTGGGGCTTCGGCCCGTCCCGCTGGCCACCCAAAAGGGATCTCAATCCCAGAAAAATCCCCCAAGACGGCTCAAGATGGTTTCCAAGATGGCCACGTTGGCCCAAGATGGCCTCCAAGATGGTCCAAGAAGGCCTCCAAGTCCACCCAAGATGGTCCAAGACGGCCTCCAAGATGGCCCAAGAGAGTCCAAGATACCTCCAAGTTCGCCCAAGAAGCCTCCAAGACGGCCCAACACGACCTAAGAGGTCTCCAAGAGGTCCTCCAGGAGGGCCCGAAGAGGCCAAAATCATTGTTTTTTTTCCAAGGTTTTTGAAGGATGCTGGTATGTCTTTCTTCTCGGCATTCCGACGGCTCAAGACGGCCCAAGAGGCCCCCAAGATCGCCCAAGCGGCCTCCAAGATGGCCCCATGACGGCCCAAGAGGCCCCCAAGAGGGCCGCAAGACGGCCCAAGAGGCCTCCAAGACGCCCAAGATGCTTCCAAGACGGCTAAGATGGCCCAAAGATGCTTCCAACACGGTCCAAGATGCACCCAAGACGGCCTGAGGTGGCCTCCAGATGGCCTAAGACGGCCCAAGAGGCCCCCAAGAGGCTTCCAAGACGGCCCAAGAGGCCTCCAAGAGGTCCTCCAGGAGGGCCCGAAGATGCCAAAATCATTGGTTTCCCCAAGGTGTTTGAAGGATGTTGGCATGTCCTTCTTCTCGGCATTCCGACGGCTCAAGACGGCCCAAGAGGCCCCCAAGATCGCCCAAGAGGCCTCCAAGATCGCCCCATGACGGCCCAAAAGGCTCCCAAGACGGCACCAAGAGGGCCCCAAAATTGCCCAAGAGGCTTCCAAGACGCCCGAGGTGGCCTCTAAAAACCATTGATATGCCCCAAAAGGGCACCACGACGACCCACACAGGCCCCCAATGTGGCTTCCGGCGGCGTCAGAGAAGCCAGGAACGCCCTAAGACGGCCAAAGAGGCCCCCAAGAAGTCCCCAAAGGCCCCCAAAAACCTTCCAAGAGGCCCACAGGAAGCTCCCAGGAGGCCCCAAGAGTGCCCCGAGAGGCCTCCTCCTCCTCGCCCTCCTCCTCCTCCTCGTTATTCCTCATCCTCCCCCTCCTCTTCTTGCTCCCCCATGCGTCTCCCGAAGTCTTTCCAAACCGACTCGGGGAGCAACTGGCCCGATAGCTTGGCCAAGCTCTGGCCCAGCTGTCGGCCACAGAGGCGCTTCCAAAGGGGCAGGGGGCGGCGGTGATTCGCCGTAGGCGTCTTCGATCACGTCAGGTGTGCCCAGGCCGTATCGTAGCCACGTTGGCCCAAATGTTTTCCCAGGATGCCCCCCGAGCTGCCCAACACAGAATCAATGGTTGTTACATAATGTTGGCTCTGGGCGAAGGTGTGGTCCTACGCCTCCCCGTCTGGAGCCCCAAAAGCAAGCAATCTTTTAGGGCGCTTGTGTGCTCCCTTGTGGCCGTACTGGGGCCATCTGGGGCCCTTCTTGGGGCTCTCATGCACCCTCTTGGAGTTGATTATCTTCAGGCTTCAACAGCCCATCGGAAGCGAGAAGGTGAGAAGGTAAAATCGTTGATCCTCCACGGTGCCGGAAGGAGTTGGTGGCCACTTGGGCCCGTGGGTGCGGTCTCGGGGCCTCTTGGAACATGTTGGAAACCATCTTTAGCGATCTCGAGCTACCTTGAGTCACCTTAGAGGACATTGCAGGCTTTCTTGGGCCCGCTTGGAGCCATCGTGGACCAGCCCGGACGCTCCAACGACCCGCGACCCCCCTTTGTCCAAACCCAGGGGAGGGGGTTCGGGGGGGATTCAAGTTCCCAGCGGCATCGCCGCAAGTTGTCTCGCACACTCCCACCATTCCTCCTCCTCCTCCGCCTCCTCCGCCTCCTCCCACCCGCTCTCCCACTGCATAAGTAGCACCCGAGTCAGAGCACCGGCAGGGGCCGCTAGTTATCGACAACCATCGGGAACCCATCCGGTGCGCGGCGCTCGCGAGCTGCGCCGACCAGCGTGCCAGGTACGCCACGCACACCAGGTGCGCGTCACAGTGGGCAGCACGTCGATCCCCCCACCATCCCAGTTCAAAACCAGTGCAAGGTGACTCGAAGAAGAAAAACGCCAAAAACATAAACCGTTGGCGCTCCGCGCGGACTCCCTGGATCCGCGCTGGGGCCCCCTGGCGGCGCCTCTGGCGCCGCCCCTGGCGCGCTCCGCGCGCCAGGGAGGGGCGTCCAGCGCAGGTCCAAGAAATCCGCGCGGAGCGCCAAAAGTTTATGTTCATGGCTATCTCTCCTCTTCTAATGGAGGATGACGATTAATAAATGACCGGGGGTCGTGTTCACGCGGCGGCGCCCGGGATGACGATTAGAAAAAACCGGCCGCGGGCTGGAAACTATCTTTTTTAATCGTTCTCCTCCAGTCAGAAAATTGTGCAGAAATAGCAGAAAACTATTTGTTTAATCGTTCTCCCCCATTTTTCCCTACCTAGGCTCTGCCTAGAAGGGTTCTTACTCTGTTAGCTTAAAGGGGCCGGGCAGTGCTACACGCCCCGGGCGGTTCCCCCAGTCCCCTGGGAGCGGTTCCCCCCAGTCCCCTGGGAGCTTTAGCTTTAGCTTTAGCTTTAGCTTTAGCTTTAGCTTTAGCTTAGCTTTAGCTTAGCTTTAGCTTAGCTGTAGCTTAGCTTTAGCTTAGCGTTTCGCTTAGCGTTTCGCTTAGCGTTTAGCTTGGCTTTAGCTTAGCTTCAGCTTAGCTTTAGCTTAGCTTCAGCTTAGCTTTAGCTTAGCATTGGCTTAGCTTTAGCTTAGCTTCAGCTTAGCTTTAGCTTAGCTGTAGCTTAGCTGTAGCTTAGCTTTAGCTCAGCTTTAGCTCAGCTTTAGCTCAGCTTTAGCTCAGCTTTAACTTAGCTTTAGCTTAGCTTTAGCTTAGCTTTAGCTTAGCTTTAGCTTAGCTGTGGCTGAGCTTTAGCTTAGCTTCAGCTTAGCTTTAGCTTAGCGTTACTGTTACTACTAATGCTGCTTTCCTAGGGGTTCCAACTCCTAGGTAGGGTCGCACTGGGATAATTTTACTAATCGTCATCCCGCATTAGTGACGGCGGGGTTGCGGGCATTGTTCGTTGCTGCGTGCGCGCCCGCGGTCGCCGCGCGCTTCTTTACGACGCGGACGGCGGGCCTGCGCACGGCGGGCGCTGTGAGGCCTCCCCATTCGGCGTCCTCGGCACAGGGCGCAGCGTAGTTGTTGTTCGAAGGGGTGGTGGGCCACCGCGCCCTCCTCCTCCTCCTCCTCCTCCTCCTCCTCCTCCTCCTCCTCCTCCTCCTCCTCCTGCGCCGGCGCAAACCAGGCCGTATGCCAGCCTCCCCGCCGCCCCCTTGTCAAAAAACACTGCAGTGTGATCGCGGGGCGCGCGCGCACGATCCAGACGTGTGGTGCAGAGTGTATGGTGTGTTGCTTGTGGTTGCCCGAGATGGTGTGGGGGGGGTGACGTTACACACCGCGGACAATGTGCAGGCACACCCGCCGATTCGATCAGAAACCCGTGCAAAGTGGTCGCGGGGCGCCCGCGCTTGATCCAGATTTCGGTGCCATATGCACGTTGCGTTGTCTTGTGCGAAGGGACGTTTGGGATCAAGCGCACATTGTAAGAGTGCGGTCAAGAACGTTTGCCTAGCGTGTCACGCCACCGTTTCTGGCCCACCAAGCTTCGGCGCGACACGCTAACCATATCCCAGTCCCCAGTCCAGGCTTCAACATCCCCAGCTTTTCCCAGCCTCCTGCCACGCGGAGTGGAGCGACACGCTATCCGCTTGCAGGACATAGCGTGCTCCCAGGGCCGCCGAAACGACACGCAAAGCAACACTTTCTCACCGTACCCAGATCCCCTACGCCATGATTGGTTTCGCAACGTCGACACCTGGAGGTCTTGACTCATTTCCCGGGACCTGCTTTTTATGCTGAGATGCTTTTTGACAGTCTTAGGGTTCCGCGAGGGGCCCCAGAGGCCTAAATCCATAGACAGTCCGCCCGTCGTGCTCTTCTTCGAAGCGAGGGGAGCTGGGCACAGGCGCACGCCTGCACGCTTGTATGGTGTGCAGCCAGTCCTCTGCTCAGGACCAGTCCGAGCCGTACCTCTCGCCGGGCACCTCCGGCGGCATATTCGCCATGCGGCGGGACTGGTTCAACCACCTGGGCTTCTTCGACGAGGGCATGGAGCAGTGGGGCGGGGACCACATAGAGCTGACCATGAAGGTCTGGCGGTGCGGCGGCCGCATCGAGGTCGTGCCATGCTCCCGCATTGGCCACCTGTTCAGGACCCCCGCCAAGCGCCCGTACGACGTGGAGGTCGCGCAGGCCTGCCCAGACCTCTGTCTGAGGGAGGAGGAGGAGGAGGACAATCCCAGGATTCAAGTTTGACCAACGGTTTAAACAGGAGGAGGAGGAGGAGGAGGAGGAGGAGGAGGAAGAGGAGGAGGAGGAGGAGGGAGAGGAGGAGGAGGAGGAGGAGGAGGAGGAGGAAGATGATGAGGAGGAGGAAGAGGTGTTAAGTTTTGCCCTCCGCCCTCGGAGGTTTGAGATGGGGAGGTTTTCGGTCGGACGTGTTCGAGTGTTGATAGCTTTATGGCCCTTTTCGGGATTGCGGCGGCCTCTCGGGACTGGGGTTCAGGCTTCTAGGGCGGCAGCGTAACTTTCCAGGAGGGAGAGGATATGTAGGAGACGGAGGAGGAGGGCCGAGTTATTTTGAAGCGTGTCTGTGTGTGTGTGTCTTCGAATGCCTCCTTGGGCATCCGAGGGCTCCCCTGTGGCGCTTCTGGAAGCCTTCAGAGCAGGTCGTCAAGAACTATGCGCGCTTGGCGCGAGTGTGGGCTGGCAACTACCTAGACACCTTCTACAAGATGAAGCCGGAGGCGCGAGCCTTCGAGGTCCCGGACCTGGACGAGCTGCAGCGGCAGCACGACGAGCTGGGCTGCCACAGCATGGATTGGTACGTGCAGAACGTGGACATAGAGATGGGCTGGGAGGCCGACAAGGTTCAGGAGGGAAAAAACACACAGACACAATTCATCCTCGATCCCCCAGAAAATGTGGGGAAAATATGGGAAGTGGGGGGGAAGACAAAAACCCAGAAAATATAGGAAAATATGGGGCCCCTTCAAAGGTCTGCATTCCTGGCGGCGATACGAGGAGCGGCGGGTGCTCCGGGCCGTCGCTCGCCGCTCGGTCCACCATCGACCAGACGATGCCGCGGGAGGAGTACCTGCAGGGCCGGGCGAAGGCTGACGCCTCGCTGGAGGCGTCGCGCTCGGGCGAGAGAAGGCCCGGCAAGGCTGGGGGGCCGGGGGGATGGCTAAAAAGAGAGAGAGAGAGAGAGAGTGGGTGTTGTTTCGGATTTGCTGGCGCCTCCCCCTCGTTCTCATCCTCCTCTGAGTAATCGCTTCGCCGGTTCCGCCGGCTCGTTTTGTGCCATCGCAGGCGTTTGCCTGCGCGTTCGTGGCCTCTTGGGGCCTCTTGGGAGCTGGTTGGTGGCCTTGTAGGGCCTCTTTTGGGGCCTCTTGGGGGCCTCGTGGGGCCTCTTGGGGGTCCCCTGGGCTCTCTTGGGGGCCTCTTGGGGCCTGCTTGGGGCCTCCTGGGGTGGAAGGCTCGAACTGGTTGTTCGTGTTCCCCCTCTTGGGCCCCTCTTGCGGCCGTCTTGAGGCCCTCTTGGGCGATCGTGGGCGCTCTTGGACCGTCTTGGGGCCCTCTCGGGCCGTCGTGAGGCGGCCTTGGGGGCCTCTGGGGGAGCGTCGGAAGCCCGAAAACGCGAGAACGCGAAAAACATGGTGCTTCTTTCGGCCATCTTTGGGGTCCTCTTGGAGCGCTGTTTGGGCTCCTTCGGGGCGGCCGTCTTTGTGCCATCTTCGGCGTCTTGGAGCGCTCTTGGGCCGTGATTCCGTTTCGTGGGCCCTGTGGAGCTGCCTTGAGGTTCTTTGGCGCGCTCCTGGGGCGATTTGGAGGGCCCCGAAAACCGTCCCCGGGAGTTCTGGCATCCTTGAGCGGACCTTGCCAGGATCTTGCCGGGACCTGACTGGGACCTTGCCGGGACCTCGCGGGGGCCTTGCCAGGACTTTGCGGGGAGTTGGCCGGGGTACGTTTCGTCTGGGGATCCTTAGGGGCCGCCCCGCGTGCGCGAACTATACATATACTCTGTGAACCAGTTTCCGGAGATTTTAGCATACCTGTGGCCCGCTGGGTGTGCGAATTCCCCTCCCTCCCTCCCCGTCATGGTCGTCCTATTTCCTTCTCTCCTCCCTCTCATGTTCCTCCTCCTCCTCCTCCTCCTCCTCCTCCTCCTCCTCCTCCTCCTCCTTCTCCTTCTCCTTATCCTCCTCCTCCGCCTGTTTTTTCTTCTTCCCTGACAGAAAGGCTGCCTGCCTTGATCGATTCCAGGCCTCTGACCTCTGGCCCCGCCTCCCCCTCCCTCCTCCCTTATCCTCCTTTATCTTCTTCTACCTCTCCCTCGTTTCTCCTCCTCCTCCCCCCTGTTCCTCTTCCTCGACCCTCTTCCTCGTTCCTCTTCCTCTTCCTCGTGTCTCCTCCTCGTTCCTCGTCGTCCTCCTCCCCCCTTCCTCCTCTGCCTCTCTCCCGTCCCATTCTACCTCTCTCTCTCTCGCCCCTCCTCCTCCCCGCCTCCTCTTCCTCCCTGGGGGCCGAGTCTGGGCACGCAGGGTGCAGCCCACCCGTAGGCTGCACCGAGCTGGGAGACAGGCGACGAGACCGGGCTCGAGGCCACGGCCGCCTGTGCTCGCCCCTCAAAAGCCGGCCCGCGCCCCACCCCGGCCGCGCCTCGATCCCTCGTCTGCTGCAGTGCCCAGGCCTGGTCGCGGCAGGCAGCTCTGAGCGGCCGGCCTCCTCCTGCTCCTCCTCCTCCTCCTCCTCCTCCTCCTCCTCCTGCTCCTCCTCCTGCTCCTCCTGCTCCTGCTCCTCCTCCTCCTCCTCCCCCTCCCCCTCCTCCTCCTCCTCCTCCCCCTCCCCCTCCTCCTCCTTCTCCTCCTCCTCCTCCTCCTCCTCCTCCTCCTCCTCCTCCTCCTCCTCCTCGTGGCTGGCGCGCGCGTCCTGGATGCTGCGGCGTGGCGAGGTGCGACATGTGCGAAAGGGCCCGCGGAGATCCGCGTCGACTTCGACGCCCCCAGGGGTCGACCCAGAGGCAAGCCCCGGGCCAGAGCAGAAAGGGCGCATCCAGCGCTGGAGCCTGGGGCGCTCGCGATCCCCCCCCCTCGCAGCAGGAGCGCTCCAGCGGCCGCCGGCACGGCACAGGAGCAGCAGGCGGGCGGCCGCGTGCACCGCGGCGGCGACGCCGCCCATGCCAGGCGTGCCCGACGCGATGGGTCGAGCCACGGCCCGCCCGCGCGCCCCTGCGGCCTCCTGCCGCCCCCCGGCGCCTGGAGCCTGCATCCCGTGATGCGGCTGGCCGCTCGTCTTAAGTCGGGCGTGTCCCCCGACAGGGGGATTCTGAGCGAAAAATAAAAAATATTCCCAAAATACCCCCCATAGGGCAAAAATAGTCAGAAAATCGTCCCCCGACTATTTTTGGATTATTTTTGAATTTTCCCCCTGTAGAGGGACAGGCCCGACTTAACGCTCGTCTCCGTGCGCCCGGCTTCTGTCTTCTGCGGCTTCCGGGGCCGCCGCCCCGGGCCGTGGCAAGGATCGCGGCGGCAGGCTTGGTCCGCAGTCTCGGCCTCGGGAGGCCCTCACCGACCGGCCCTCGGGGCCGTCAGCAATAGCGACTCGGGATGAAGCAGCGGTCCAGGGGGGAGTGGGTCGAGACCTCTGAGGGTCGACGTCGTGAAGAAGTCATGACGTCCGGGGGTCTGGGGCTGGACTCCGTGCACGCCTGGGCCAGCGGCCTGCTCGCCTTAGCCTCCATAGCGGCGCGCTGCCTTCTTTGCGGCCGCACGCCGCTCTCGAGGGCCAGCCGTCCCTCGTGAGCCCCCGCCAGTGCCGGCTGGCTCGGTGAGGACCCCCAGGTCTCCGCCTTCCCAAAGGAGGTGCGTCCCTCCCATCGGCTGTGGGAGTGCCGCTTGAGAGGCGAGCCCAGTCATGCGACGTCCTGATTTTTTCAGGACGGCGTCCCTGGAAGTCCCGACCCTTTCCCCGGGACCAGTTTTTCGTCCTGAATCGTTTTGTTGACGCTCCCGAGGCCCGGCGAGGGCCCCCCGGGGCCGAAAAGAGCCCAAAACCTCCCGTCCTGATGTTTTCACGGCGCGATCATGTCTGGCTCCTCGCCTCCAAGCCCTGCCCCGACCTTGCTCCCCGAGGTGGGCTCCCTGCCGTCGGAGGCGTTGCCGGCCCCTCCAGGGCCGGCCGGGGCGCTGGCCGCGCCCGGGGGGCGGAGCGTCGGGCGCTGGGTTTCCTCGGCGCGGCGCCGGAGTCAAGCAGTGGCGAAGCGTCCTGGCTCGCCTATAGCCCCACCAAACAATGTTCTAAGAACCTTTTGGTGGTCCTGCACGAAATGTTCTCAGAACATTTCTGGCCGGGACTGTTTTGGTTTAACACATCGGGTTAATGTTCTAAGAGCAGTGTTTTTGCTCTTCGAACATTTCTGGGTTCTAAGAACATGTCGTGGTAGGACTAAAGAAATGGGGCGCAGATGGGCCCTCAGATGGCTGAAAACGAAGCGGTAGCAGCGGCTTGCGCGCCCAGGTTTGGTCTCCCCGCGCCCCCCCAAACAGCCACGCGCCAGAGGTCACTCTTACCCAGGGTCACTCTTGCGTGTAGCCGATTCCTCGGCGCGGCGCCCGAGGGTCCGTGCGTTCGCCGCCAGGGGGCCCTCCGGCTGGCGCCGAAGAAGGACACCCTGCAGAAGCAGCACAACTCGCGGCGGTCCGGGCGGAGCCCGTGGGTCTGCGCCGGGGCCCCCTTTGCGGCGCGTCCTCGGGCGCCGCCCCCGGCGCGTTCCGCGCTCCGGGAGGGGGGAGGGTCCCGCGCAGAGCCACGAAGGCCACGCGGGCCGTCGAAGGTTCGTGCTTCTTGCTGTTCTTTCCCTCCATGGCAAGAGTCGGGAGGGGAGAAAACACACAGGCACACTTCATCGTCGACTCCCAGGAAAATATAGGAACATATGGGAACTGCATGGGGGGGGGAAGGCAAACACCCAGAAAATACAGGAAAATATGGGGATGGTTTTATCTGTGTGTATCTGTTTGTGTGTCTTGGGGCCTAGGGCCCCTTCAAAGAGGGCGGCGCCCAGAGGGTGCAGCCTGTGCCACCTGCAGCGGCCCTTGCACGGCTCGAGCGAAACAAAACCTTTCGTGGTATGACTGTAGGAATGCCGGGACGGTCGGTCCCTGCTCAATGCACGGCTCGAGCGAAAAAAGCAACATACATTGCCAGAGCTCCGCGCTGATAGTTGGGATTGGCACTGGACTCCCCTCCCTGGCGCGGGGAGCGCTCCAGGGGCGGCGCAGGAGGCGCCGTCGGGGGTCTCCAGCGCAGATGGAAGAAATTTGCGCGGGCCTCCGGAAGTTCGTGTCCGTGCCGTTGTTGTCCTTCTGCCGGCGTTGCCGTTGCTGGTTGGTGCCCGGTGGTCGCCGTGACCATGGTGTCATTGCCAACGTGAGCGGCGCCAAGACACGGGGTCGTCTGCGCCGGCGCTGGCGCGTAAGCTGCCCGCGCCAGGTCGCGCGTACGCGCCCCTCTGCACGGTGGCGCGCCTCTCGCGGGCGGCCCGCGTGAGACCCCGCGGGAGGCCACCGTGTCCTCTCGCGTATAGGCCCGTGCGTGATCGTCGCTCTTCAAGGGAGGCGGCAGCCTATCCTCGCCCGGGGCCGGCCTCCCTCCCGGGAGCGATGAGCGCCGCCTCGGGGGCGCGGAGGGTTGCGCCACAGCCTGTCGCGGCACGGCCCCGGCAGAGCGCAGGGGCCACCCGGGGCAGGCAATCCTGGGCATTGTGTTAGGTCGGGCACGTCCCTCTGCAGGAGGACGATCCAAACAGTTTAAAAATAGTCTGGGGACGATTCTTCGATTGTCTCTGGTTCTTTTTAACGTGTTCTTTAGCTACGTTTCATCTTTCTTCCAAAATCCGCCTGTAGGAGGCCACGCCCGACCTAAGCATTGTGCCGTCGACCGCGCTCTTGACACAGCCGGCCGCGAGAGTCGCCTGGTGGCACTGCCTGAGGCCAGGGCCGCCCGCGCCATCTCGCGGGGCCTTTCTCTCTCTCTCTCTCTCAATCCCCTCCCCTGCTGCGGCCGCCTTCCTCGCTCGGGTGTAGAGGGAGTACGCATGGCACGCCGCGGTTGCGAGCCCGTCAGCGTGGTGCCCCTTCGTTGTTGTCAGAATGCCTGCTGTTCCCTCAGCAGTGCCGCGCCGATCGGTTGCCCACGGCGCCGTGCCAGTGCTGACTATTGCTTTGGCTTCCCCACTCTTCTCCCTCGCTCTGGCACCGGTCGCAACTCGCCTTAGCCCCCCCCCGCGCCGAGCCTATTCTGCGAGATATGCCGCAGATCGACGCCGACCAAAACGAACGTGAGGAGTGTCAGAGCTAGGGTAGTGACAGGGGAGGTGAGCTCAAGGATCCCTCGGCCCAGGAATGAACGGGCGTCCCGCGCCTCCCCTGGGCCAGCCCTGAGGCAATACGACGGCCGACTTGTGCCAGAACGGCTACGGCTTCCTCCATGCCCTCCCGTCCCTCTCTCGCCCAGATGTCTGCAGGGGTCGCCATAGGTACCCGGAGGTACGTCCCCTTCAGAGGTCCCAGGAGGCCTCCAGTTTCCCCTCCTCCTCCTCCTCCTCCTCCTCCTCCTCCTCCTCCTCCTCCTTCATGTTCTCATCCATCCTTCTTCCTGTTCTCCTCCAGTTTCTTCACCTCCTCACTCCTCCTCCTCCTCCTCCTCCTTCTCCTCCTCCTTGTCTTCTTGTCATTCCTCATCCTTCTCCTCCTCCTGCTCCTGCTCCTCCTCCTCCTCCTTCTCCTTCTCCACGTCCTTCCCTCCAGCTCCTCCTCCGCCTCTCTTCTCCTTCTCTTCGTCCTCTCCTCCTCATCCTCCATCTGATACTCCTTCCGTTCCCCCTTCATCTCCTGCTCCGAGCGCAACTGGAGGCCTCCCGCCGGCCATCCTTTGCCACCCTCCCAAGAGGCCTGGGCGTACGAGGCCCGGCTTGAGCTGTGAGGGCGGCCGCGGCGGCGCGGCGGACTCATCTTTCGACCTCGGCCGCGGCGAGGACGGGGACGACGTGACCCTCCGCATGTTCCTCCTCCTCCTCCTTCGCCTCCTCCTCCTCCCTCCTCCTCCCGCTCCTCCTCCTTCTCCTCCTCCTCCTCCTCCTTTCCTCCTCCTCGTCCTCCTCCTCCTCCTCCTCCTCCTCCCTCCTCCTCCTCCTTCTCCTCCTCCTCCTCCTCCTCCTTCTGCTCCCCGTCCTCCTCGAGAGGGAAGTCAAAGGATTGCGCCGCATCGCCGATGCATGGGGGATGCGGCGCAATCCTCCGACCCCATTCGCTCGGATCCCATCTGGAGGCGGCCTCTTAGGGAGGGAGGGATGGAGGGTGAGACAGAGTGGAAGAGGAGAATGACGACGGACACGAAGATGATCGAGGAAGATGAGTTGAGGTCGATGACCGCATTGATTGTTCGAGGACGTGACGATGTCACTCATCCGAGGAGGTTGGTTTTCGAGTAGTTTCCGCATTCTCATGTGGTTTGGGATATCTTCTTATGTTCTCGGAGGATGTGTTCGTAGGCGGGAGGCGGGGGAGGAGGAAACATACAGTCCTCGTCATCGATGATGACTTCGGCAGTGTTCGAATGCTCCCTGAATTATTTCTATGTTTTTTGGAAAAGGCTGACGGATTTTGTAGGGTTGGTTTGGATGGTAAGTAATATGTTCGGAATGTTCGGCTTGTGTTCGGGATTATTGATTACAATGGTTGGTTAATTTTTGAAGGGGAGGGGGGGGAGAAGGAGGAGGAGAAGGAGCAGGAGGAAGAGGAGGAAGAAGAGGAGGGAAGAGAGAGCAGGAGGAGGAGGATGAGGAGGATAGGAGGAAGGAGGAGGAGGAGGAGGAGGAGGAGGAAGGAGGAGGAGGAGGAGGAGGAGGAGGAGTAGTGTGTGTGTGTGTGTGTGGGTGTCTGTCTGCGTGTGAGCCGGCGGGGCGGAGGAGGAGCAGGAGGAGAATGAGGAGAAGGAGGAGGAGGAGCAGGAGGATAATGATGTTGGGGAGCAGGAGGAGGAGGAGGAGGAGGAGGAGGAGGAGGAGGAGGAGGAGGATGGGGAGGAGAAGGAGATCGAAGAGGAGGAGTTGGTGGGGAAGGAGGAGGGGGAGGGGGAGAGAGACGGAGTGAAAGATGGAGGAGGAACAGGTTGATTAGACCAAGGCATTTGAAGAGGATATTGAAGATGACGACGATAATGAAGAGGACTGGAAGTATGAGGAGGGAGATAGAGAGGGAAATGAGGAGGAGGAATGTTGGGGAACATATTCCACATATGCATCGTCATTATTTTCGTGCCTCTGTCTGCTCGTCAGTTCCTCCTCCGTCCGTTTCGTCGTTGGGAGATCATGGAGCTCGGCGAGTCCTCCAAGATTCTCTTTGTCCTCGCACTTCTCTCTTTCCTCCCCCCTCGCTTCTACGTCCTTTTTCCCTTCCTCCTCTTCCTCCTCCGCCTCTCTGTCGAGGAGGAGGGAGGAAAGGAGGAGGAGGAGGAGGAGAAGGCGGAGGGTCTTGTTCTCCTCTCGCTTATCCTTCCTTATCCTTTTCTGCTCCTCCCTTCCGGGGGGTAGGAGGGAGCGGGTTCTCCTCTTTTGCCTCCTCGTTCGTCCCCGTCCTCTTCTCCTTGTCCTCGTCTCCCAACATGTGTCCTTATCATTTTCGGGATAGGAGTAAGAGTTTGGAAGGAGGATTCTTGACCTCACGGGGACCATGCGCAGGTTTGACTGCCAGCTGACGAATATCTGATGCCAGCGGCGGGACTCTACTTAGAGTCGCCCGGATCGCTGGCGACGGAGAGCCGAGAGGAAGTCGGGGGCACAAGACATTGTGTCAGATCTCGGGGTGAGGAGTCAGGGCTCATTTCGATGTTCCTGCTTCGATCCGATTCGATTTCGGTGTGGTGCGGTTCCGTTCCGATGCGATCTCGGATTCCGATTGGGATGCCGATGTTTCAATGGATGCCTACCAGCCTGCTGATTTATGCCGATTCGACTTCTCCCGACTCGGCTGCTGATTTCCGCCGGTACGATTCATTTCGATCGGCGATCCGACTTATTGTTTCGATTCTGGGGGTCCATTATAAGGAGGAGCAAGAGGAGGAGGAAGAGGAGGAGGCGGAGGAGGAGGAGGGATAATAAGAAGGATGATATGATCTACCCAGCTCCCCCTCCCCTTCCTTCTCCTCTTTCTGCTGTGATGCGCAGCCGGAGGTCGGGCCCGTCTTGCGCGCACGGGTGCACCGAGCGACTGGGGAGAATGCATTTGATCCGGTTCCGCGCCCACCTATGAGTGTCGCAGCGTTCTGGAGAAAAAAGCACCCTCCTCCTCCTCCTCCTCCTCCTCGAGGTACCCTCTCCTTCCTCACACGTGCCCTCTGAGAGCTTTCAGGAGGTGGAGGAGGGAGAGAAGAGCAGAAGAGACGATACGAGAAGGGGAAGTCAAGCAAGAGAGGAGAAGAGGGCGAGGAGCAGGGAAGGAAATGATTCACATTAGCCGCGCAGGGAAGAGAGATCAAGAGTGGCTAATCTGAGGCTTTAGAAGAGAAGTGAAACAGGATTTCAGGGTCTAGGCTAGAGTGTTCTACGGGATCGAATGGTGTATGTTTCCTCCGCCCCTTCTAGTCCTCACCTTCCTCATCCTCCTCTTCGCCCCCGTCCATCCAAGTCTATTGCATTCGTCCCTGGCATCCTTACTCCTGCGGCTGACTAGATATCCTCACAGATTCTTCCCACAGCCCAGTGCCCCTCCGTGCCCTCCCGATGTCTGCACACTGTTGCACCTCCGACGAGCCTCTGCGCCCTCCTCGGTGCGCGCCCCCTTGCGTGCGCCAACTGTACCATTCCTCGTCCTCCTCCTCCTCCTCCTCCTCCTCCTCCTCCTCCTCCTCCTCCTCCTCCTCCTCCTCCTCCTCCTCCTCCCCCCCCGCCACAATTACTCAATATGAATGTTACTATCCCTCTTCCCCTGATGACGGTTTGGAAGTGCTCGACCCCCCCCCCCCCCGCGTATTGTTTTTTTTACACAGGTTCCCCCGAAGTTGGGTTTTCGCTTGCATTTTTTTCAAAATGCTGCTCTCGCTGAGGCGCCGGCCTCATTTTCGGGCCCCGCTCGTTCCGAATCGTGCTCCCGCTGCAGCGCTGGCCTCATTTCCGTGCTTCCGCTCGTTCCGAATCGTGCTCCCACTGCAGCGCTGGCCTCATTTCCGCACTTCCGCTCGTTTCGACACGTGCTCCCGCTGCAGCGCTGGCGTCATTTCCCGTCCCATGCCACGGCATGCAATGCAATTCTAGGTTGATACTACGCTTTGCGGTGCTCTTCTACGCCATGCCATGCCGTGCTCTACAATGCATCGCGT